AAAAAAAGTTCTAGATATTTTGTTTGGAAGATGAGCAAAGATTCAGTGCACAGAAACGATGAGGTGATGAAATGATACCAAGCAAATTGTGTGGCGGAAAATAAGGAACATAAATATGGGTGAAGAGATGTATTTTGAGGGACAGTGTGCATTTAGTGATTGATAATACGATGTTTCGGGTGAATTGAATTAGCGGACATTTGCATTGAATTTGAAGCACTGTGATAATAATGAAACCAATAAATCGATGTCTCGAAACGGAATCTGAGAAGGCAATTATGCCAGTGGTCCTCATTCACTCTTGAACACCGAGCGTTTTGTAATCGATTTGAAATGGTATCCAGCGCAACAAAATCTGACGGCAAATTTTTAAACAAAAACGTGCATAGGAATCGGCCCAGTAAGGACCAATATTTGGCGATGAGACAACATAACAAATAATCAATGGAAGAGGCTCAACCGACCGAGTCCTCTGCGTAGAATATCTGGTTTCAGCACGTATCCACAATTACCGTTCACACGAAACATTGCTGTATTCAAATCCAAAAATTTGTCAGCCGTTTGCATATTCAAAGCGACCGATTGAACGCCTAACAACCACGATGGAAACGGATCCATATTGCTCGAATTTTGTCGAAATCCACTCGGATAGGATTTCACAAACCTCCGTGCAGTATAGGCTGGCAAATTGTATGAAGATTGAAATATTGACTCAACTTTACTCTCTGAGAGCGACGGAGAACCATCCATTGGATCTGAAGAATGAGCGTTGAAATTATTTGAACTATTCTGCTGGCGACTGCGCGAATGCTATTTTGAGTTTATGTTCTAGTCGAGAATTCGAATTTTTTTTTGCGTTTCATCATTCTCGACAGATTTACATATTGTTAGGTTTCGCCCACAAAAAGTGAACTGTGTTAATTTTGAGATCTTTGAAACAAAAATTTACAGTGAATTATTTTGCATTGATCAAATTATTCATTGTGTTCTGATCAAATTCCGCGAAAGTATTTAACAGGTGTCAGAATTTCAAAAAATACGAGAAATTTAAGCTCCACTAACGTGTTCGCATATCATTGTCAGCGTTATTCGTAATTTTAGCGGATGGAAGAGAGATAAGACGTGAAAATTCAGGATCGAGTTTGACTTGTTTGGCTGAATCGTCGTCAGACGATTGACTGTTAACCACTTCATGCGGCAGTTTTTTGCCCCTTACAAGGAATTTATTTTTGAGTGCATTCGGTGATGGAAGCTCAGATGTAGCTGAATTTGGCGGTGATATGTAAATCTTATCACCGAACACCTGAAGTAAATTCCTTGCTGAAACATGAGCAAATGAATGATTTGAAAGATGCGATAATAATAATGATAATGAAAATATATCTCAGAGAATGTATGACATGGAGGTCGATAAGAAGGGAAAACTGAATAGTGAAATGGAATGTGCATTTTGAAATCTGGTGATGGGAAGCGGAGGACATTTAAGAGCGGATACACAATGAGGATGGAGTACATTCACTTAAACCGCATTTTATCTACTATTTCGGTCGTTACTTCACACAAGATACCAGTTTCATGTTCGTCATGATAACGCATTCATCAATGATTGATAATTTTTGATAAAGTTATTCAAGTTTGCTGCCGTTGATCATTGGTAAAACTGATGAACGTTAGCTCAGGATTGTGTAGAAGCAATAGCAAACCTCATTGAATATTCGAAACATAACTTTCTGTTGCACAAGACCAACGTGGTTCTCGATGGTGAGTATCACAGGATAAGGACTGTATTTGAATGCGTACTGTTCGATGGTCGTCAACGCGTCACGCAATCGGATCGCATCAACTAACGTATGTTTATGCGTTATGCATGGCTCTCCATCATCCCCATCGAATATGTCCACTTGAATGCATCAAATCATTTGAAAATTCCTCATCAATAACTACTGACTCACAATGATAGTTGAAGCAAAACTTTGAAAGTTCATTCTCACGATTGGTCATTTACCTCATTTTCATTATATGAACGCATGATTTCTTTACGTCTGTCTCATTTACGACTCTTATGATTCGTTGATTTCATTCAACTTTGCTGACTAACGTTTTACTGATTACTTTTTTTGGTTGAAAATCGAATCAGATATTCTCATCGATCTCCATCAATTTCACCGTTTATCCCAAACATTCTACGAAATTATCGAGTAGAAGGCGAATAAGATTCAAACTGGAGATGAAATTTTGGTAATTAACAGATGCAGAATTGATAACATTATGCAATATGTTCAGTGGTATTATTAGGATACGTGCAATGCATTGTGATTGCGGTCAGTTTTTTGAGGTGATAAAAGATTACGTTCAAGAAGTCGAGCACCCTTTGTGAGCGCATTAATGTATCCCTCGATTGACGCCATACCGGCGAGTTGTAGTCCAGTGAGGTAGGTGTTATGACTCGAATTAACATAGTAATAGTTCAGTGGACAATCCATATCTTGGAATACTGTTTCGTGGCCTGGCTTGAATATATTACCGTACTGTGCGCGTAGCAAGTGACGGAAACCTGAAGGAATTTTGACAATAGGCAATTGCTTCATTCATGTCAGTGGCATACGCACGAAAGATTCTGACGGCGAAGAATCACTTTTACTGACATGCGTTAAATTTCTCGTTCTCTGCACTGCCTGGAATTGAGGAGAAAAGTACTGCGCGAACAATTTCATTGCTCTGGAGATTCACCGACAAATTTCCAGACAATTCGTCTGGAAATCTTTTGCTAGACCGCTTCAGTTTGATTGTAGCAGTGTGGCTTATCGATGAGATAGTGAGGATACTCAGTGAAGCAATTACACGCCAATAATGAAAGTAGCTATTGTGCAACGGTATGGTTGATTCTAGATTGATTCTCAGTACAAAAAAAATATCGCTGAGAATGAATCTCACCGAGTGGTCCCAACAATAAGGGTTGCTGTTCATCTCGTTTAGCTCTTTCAAATGTTTGCACAATATCCCGAGCTTTATTATCATCGATCTCTTCGAACTATAAATAATTTCCATTTCACAGCCTCCGCTTACAAGATCTTACACTGCATCTTAACACGTCGAACAATTCAGTGATGATGCAAGAAGACATCTTAACCTAAGATAATGCATGAACTGACGGCTAGAAAAATGTCAACTAACGTGTTGCTGTTGAACGAGAAAATGCATCAAATCTGTTGGCGTGAATGTCTCTTGGTGTGCTGAGCTGTACGTTCGAAGAATTTGTCTTAAGTCCCTTCTCTCGGTGAGCCGTTCGAAAAATATCACGAATTCATCTTCGTCTAACATCTGATCTCTCCTCTTTGTATCAGCGGCCTGTATCAAATCGATCTTAAGAATGCGATGATCTGGTTTGAACATTTATTTCATGCTCACGCGAAACGTCTGGTAGCAGTTGCTAGTTCCACAAAACTTCTTCATTAGCAAACAATCGAATGTGGTTCATGATTTTATGAATGTCGGTCAAACAAGCTCACAAACGATTGCATCGATACATCGGTCCGTTTACAAACATATTTACTTTCATGCATTCGTACAACTCATCACAACACATTTAACTGTTACTATTCATGATTTTCTGTGGCTGTTTTTGCGTTCAACTGTTTACATTGGGCATTGCTATGAAAAACCACTGTTTTCTTAGAAACAGTAAAATATATCATTTCATTCCTTAACTGCTATAAAGTTTGTTGACATTTGAATGCACGACTGAACCTTTTGAGAGTAAACATTCAAAAAAGTGAGCAAACCCTGAAAAGTTTTCTCGCATAATCTTCGCTCAGCTCCAAATTCAACTGCTGCAAAAGTTTCCACAATTCCACAAAAGATAGAGTTCCTTAAATAATCACAGTCGGATTATATTCAGGCATAATTAATACTTGCTTTTTTATGCAGAAACCACCTAGGTATTCCCGTGTTTATTCACCGAGCCTCCTTGATCTGTCTCAGCTCAAGTTGTTACACGAA